AAAAAAAAAAAAAAAAAAGAGTACTGATTTTCCGACAATTGAGCAGTCATCATGGTATCAGCAATCAAGATGTTGATGAGACCTAGGTAAGAAAATAAATTAATAAAAAAAATCCTACCATATAGTTTGTTCAGGAATTGAATTTCATTGCAGAAAACAAGGCAAAACCTGAAATGCAGTAAGAAATTCGGTCAAGACTCAAGAGCTTTTAGCTTAGAGGACTTTATTACAAAAAGAAGTCATCACTGTGTGTGTTGAATTCTCTTGCTCAATTTAATGTCAAAGATCATTTAAATGCTGCATATTTTCACTAAATTGAGAATCAGTTCAGTCCATATCGTATTTTCTTTAGATGATGTATTGAAATGAATATCATTTTCCAGCTTTGAGAATGCCATCCAAATGGGCTCTTAGAAATTATGCGCTGAAACTTTTAGATGTTGGAAAGAGGCTTAACTGCTACAGTATCTGATAGATGCAAATTAAGCTTGGATAAAGCAAAATTGCATTTTATGACTCAAGGCCTAAGTTTGATGGTGTATGTATTTATTTCAACATAAAGAGCCATATGGAAGTAATGAAATTAATTGTGGTAAAAGAATTCCAGAAAGAGTGCCTCCTGTACATGAATCTCGCTTTCACCAGCAACAATTCTTCTTCTGCTTCACAAGAACAATGATCCAGTCATTCATCCAATGGATAACAGAGGAAAGCGCATATAATTTGAATTTTGAAGTGTTGTTGCTGGTTATATATTCTCACTTACCAGCAACTTTGCTTCTCGTTGTTGATCAATGTATGCAAGCAGTTCTTCTTGCCTTATCAAAGCTTCGTGCAAAGCCTGCTCATAAAGCAGACATGGAAATCTAAGCAACAGGAGAAAACATGAACCAAAATGGATGGAGTTTCTAATAAGCAAGCCTTGACTCGCTACACCCAGCATGTTAGGTGCATCTGATGAAGAGGTCCAAAATGCGTTTTAGCCATTCAAAAACCTTCATAATTTAAAAAAAGGCAATGGCAACAGAGCAATATATATTAATAATTAGAGTATTGAGTAAAAGTTTAACAACCTTTTTGGTAGCAATTAGCTCTGCTTCTAATGCATCAACACGATGAATAGCAGCATTCAGCAACTCCTCTTTCTCACCAGGCATCTCAAATGGCTTTGACCGCAGCATCTCAACCTTCTCCTCAAGCTCATCTAGTCTTCTTAAAACAGATGGTACAAGTTCTGCTGCTGTGTACCTTGGAGTAGGTGAACTGGGGCAAGAGTCATGAAACTCTTCCTTGTGCATCGATTCAGCATTTGGATCAGGGATGGCACAAGCCAAATCAGGCATATGGCTTTTCTTAGTCAACTGGAATGCCAGTTTTTGGATTAGAGCAAGAAAGGTTATGAAAAAGGTGATTACAACAGCCCAAATTTTAGTCAGGAATCCTTCAGAATTATTTTCCACAGTTGACAAAAGGGAAGTCCCTGCAATGAACATTGGCACGCATCTTCAAACCATGGCACGTCTATGCTTAAAATTTAAAAATGAAACATGAATGTACTATCTAGAAGTAAAAAGATTCAGTTGAAATGACTCAATGAATATCCTATTTATGCCTAAAAGTTCAGACACAAATCTAAGCTTCTGACAAAATGAGTTTAGCCATATACATTCTGTTGGCTTTTCCATACAGCAGAAACAAACACAGAATCCAGTTAACAAAAGTGCAAATAGCAAACCTCTGGAATTAGAGAGATTCTGGTGATACTCATCTTTATCCCATTCAGCATCCACAACCTTGTCAATCATGGGCACATATTCATCATGCTCAGTTAAGCCACCAGCAGAGCTCGACTTACCAGCCATTTTAGCCTATATGAACATCAGAGCATGTTGATATGAACATCAGAGCATGTTGCTATGAATACAAGAATATGAATTAACAGTTTGAGTTGATTGCCATCAGCCACATCAGCCACACCTCAGTACGTTAGTGACCCTCCTCATTAATCAACTTTCGAAATTATGAATGCAACAATATATATATAATAGAAGCATTTCATACTGTTAGAGAATGACTTTCTTAGATAGATTGAAATTTGAAAACAATCAAAATTTGGTCACTCATCACAAATGGTTACCTCTTCACTGACAGAAGCAAGTGCTGGATGCGAATAACTTCTCAATGGCTTAGGAGATGCCATTTCTTCAACGTCAGACCCTGATTCTGCAGTAGAAGCATCAACACCTTTTATCTGAGTTGGTAAAAGAAAACCAGAGAGGGTATTAAGTACAACTGAACCGTCTGACTGAATTTAAAAAGGTAAAATTGAGCAATCATGACGTGAGTTGTCAAAAACAGTCTAGACTCTAGACGGCCATACCAGCGGATAGCAAGGCTTATCGTACGAAATTATCTTGCACTCACCATTTGACACTGTCACTATTTGTCTGGAATATAAAGCCTCACCACTGAGTACCATCTAGATGAATGGAGACAATAATAAAGCTCTTAACAAATATGAAGAACTATTGTCACAGAAGGGGTAAAAAAAATGGGCTATGAATCAGACAGATGAGAGTATCAAACCTTTAATATATTTGGGTCATTCCAAGGCCCCTTATCAGATCTCATACAACCTCCCTGATCAGCACAAGTACAGCAACCACCCAGAAACTGTGGCAACTCGCTAAACAAGCCCAAGATTTAAAAGTGTTACAGTGGTTAACCACATATAAATGAGAATTAAGTAGAATATTAAAAAATTACCTTGCATCAATTATTTCAAGTAATTTGCTTTGGTACTTGTGACCAAGAACCTAAAGGCAATTTACAAAATAAGTCAATTAACTGTATGAACTGAAATCATCAAACCACCAGTATCATCTTTTTGATAGATATAAAATAGGACCACACAACTTTATCAACTTATTGAACATACATGAATCTTGCTAGCTGTTTTGGGATCAAGAAAAGATTTGACGACATTCCATGGCCCCTTGAAAAGAGGACCAGCATTGACAATAAACATTCGGCAAAGAGTCTGCAGACACAGTTACATTAAGCAGATGATAATCTTTGATTTTAAATCTTGCAATCCTATATACAACAAAGAGTAAACAATTTCAAAAATAATTCAAGAACATTTGCAGCTAGAACTACAAACCTCAGGATAGTAGTCACCATCAATCTTCTGCAGCCGCATGATGAGTTCTCGTACAGCCTTGGTTAGGTGCTTAAGACCCTGTGAATAATTAATAAGAATGAGCAATACATGAATGCACCACACTTCTATAGTCCAAACATAAAATGACGCAAGGAAATTTTCAACATAAAAATAAATAACACACCACGCCTTGCACATCTATAATTGTTGTGCTGGAATCAATGTGTCTCTTTGCAGAAATTGAGCAAGCTGGAAACTTAATTGCAAAAGTCTTTTCAAACCCCTGCACATGGTATCTCAAAAATCTTTCCAAGTTGGTCACTTGCATAAGCTTGTTGGGGTCAACTTTTCCTAGTCTTTCAATATAAACAGGTCTTCCCTCTTTATCCACTCCATGATAACCATGAGGGTAGTACTCTAAAACTTCGCTCAACTCATTGAACTTAAAATCCTGATATGAACAGATAATAACTAGAGGCATCAGCATTTCCCATGTAAAATCAAGCAAAAACTGAACATACAGAAACCAAGAAATAAAATGAAAATTCCATGCACTGTTAGGATACTTAGGATATATGAAAATTTTGGACATAATATGAATGGTGAAAATACTGAATTCCAGTAGATGAAATCACCTCCAAAATTGTGTCCGTACCAAAATCTTTTCTCCATTGGATCATATTGGCCCACATCTGTTTTGCCTTTTCAATATCAAATTTTCTTGCCTTTAAAAACCTGAAAGAAAATAACTATTCAGGATTGGATTAAGTCTTTATGTATGTGTGTAAAGATACTGATTAGAATTGTATGAATTGAGGGTATCACCAATTCATAAATATTATTTTCAAGAGATAACACATGAACAAATAGAACTTTTGGCAGTTGATGCTCACTAAGTTTAATGACAGCTCTCTGTAGTTTTTTAGCAGGCAGTTTAGAGACAGAGGTTAGATTGCAGTCACATGAAAGGGAAACAATCACATCTTAAAAGTAAACACAGAGAAAACAATCACATCTTACTTGTGCAGATACATTGAGATAGCTTCATAGCCACTTTAACAGAAAATGTCAGCATTTACAAGTATAAGGGAAGGATGGCAAGTTACCTCAGCAACATATGATAATCATCATGTCTGACAGGCAGCAACTGATCTAGGATCAATGCCTGACGGAATGCATCTACAGCCTGCAGCTCTTCAACATCCCGAATATCCTTGATTGAAAGAGAAGAATTTTGACTACCACTTTTCCTCCTGTTTTTCTTCTTGAAAGAATGTCTGAGTTTACTTGACGTCTTTATTACTTTCCTTTTAAGATTCCCTATTTTAGTCTTCTTGTCATCTTCAGATAATTCTAAATCCGATTTTCTGTCTCTTCTTTCATCCCTGCTCCCCTCAAAGCCTGCATAACATATTAACAAGTTCATAGCATGTCCAACATCATATATCTTACAAAAGAATCACATATTAGGGCATGCATCCAATCTGGGAGATCTGGTAGAGTAGCATACACAGTTTCCTTAGAGGATGAAACTAGAAGAATGAAATCTTGGTAAAAGGCATGGTTATACAGCAATAAGACATAATGTAATAATACTAATAATGAATGGCATAAGAGCCAGTTAGAGGTCAGCAGATCAAATCGACAGAAAACATGTAATGGAAGGTTTGATCATGTTTAGCAAGGATCGAGACAACTGCCAGACTGCAATTGAATCCAGTATAATACAAATTTTCCGCAATAACAAGTAGGACTAGCTAGAAAAGACAGAAATACAAATTCTACAGGTAAATCGGACACTTTCCGAGATCTTGTCTCGCAACTGAGCTCGAAGGCCAAAAAACTGATGTCTATGGATGATTAGACGTTCAATTATGTAAAGGTACACAATACAACTCAATCATCAAGAATCTTATCAAATGTAACTAACAGGCACAACAGAAACACTAACAGCAGCAACAATTACTACAACTACCATGGAATCATCACTGCGTCTACCAATCAACTGGATACACTAACAAACAAACGCAGCTAAAATTACAAGATCTGAACAGAGACTCCTAAATCTTTTTAAACAAAGAACAAGTTAATTCAACAATATAACATTTTAAATTTCAAAATCAAACCAGAATATCAATACAAAAAGCTAAAATGTCAAAGAATAAGAAGATGATATGAAGAAACCGTTACTCACAAGGCTTGGAAAAGCAATCCAGCTGCCCAGACATGTTCGGTGCCTTCCGAAATCACTCGAACAAGAACACGAATCCGATACCTAAAGATCACAGAAATGTCAAACCGAATAAAATTAGTGTTAGATCTAAAGCGACCTGACCGCAAGAATTTGTCGGCGAAACCAGCTCGAGGATAAAGGGAGAAAGGGTGAGGGGCTAAAATTCATCTGGTGCTGATTAATTCGAACAACGGAAGTATTTATTACCAGCCTAGCGAACGATGATACGAAAAGCGGAGCGACGGTGCGTGCGTGTGCCGTGAATGTGAGAAAAAATTTTCCGTGGCGGTTGATCTTTTGGTGACCTTGGGTTCAGAGATTGACGCGTGGCAATGTGGCGCGTGACTTGGACATTATCTTTGGCGGGAATTCGTAGACGACACGGTCGCCGGTGCACGGTAAGCTGAATTGCTTGGTTGGTGCCCTTGACTTTTCATCAGAATCAGAATAATTCTTTTATTCTTATTCTTCAATCCTCGATAAGCAAAAATCATTCTTTATTCTACACCACTTATTGATCTTTGACTTTTATAAAAATGAGTTATTAACATACTTAAAACGAGAATTTCCTTTTTCCTTGTAAAAAAGAAAGGGAATTTCCTTGATTTTGAGAAGAATTTTATTTTATTTTTAAATAACATACTCTGACAATGATTTGTTGAATTTTGTTTTATTTGCCATAATTTATCGTAATATTTAGTAATTCGTGAATGACGAGGAGTACCTGCGAAACCGGGAAAAACCACCGTTGTAGCGGCGGCGACTCCGGAGGGGGTGGGATGATGACCCCACATTCCAGTGGGAAGCATGAATAAATTGACCAGCCAGGAAATTGGAAGTCAACGGTTCAATCAAGGTTTTTTTTAATCTCCACGCCCAAGGGGAAAGGCCAAATGAAACCGCAAGTAAACGAATTAAAGTAATTTGATGAGTATCACGAGTTACGCAATAGGAAGAAAGAAATTACCATCATCCACGGCCTAAACAATATGACTTTGCTTCGAAACCAAAGATCTAACACATGAACAAAAGAAATGGATCAACCACGATTTTACTCAAGCGGCCGAATACTTGAGCTTTGAACCTAAACTTCAAGCTATCCGTTATTAAACACGAATCTTTAAACAGCAGTAGTCTACCAAGGAAGCTAATGAAAGATTGACATAAAAATGCCAGCATTGATAATTACCAGACCACAGACAAATCAAACGTAAGAACAGCCTACCACTGAGGTAATATAAGCGGTAATCAGTTCAGCATAAATCGATGTGCTTCACCATTACAATAGCACCATAAGTCTATCTCTACATATATGCAGGGGCTTGGCACATAGATATATCGGAGAAAGGGAGAAATAACTGATTACTGCTTCTTGCGGTAGATTCAATCAGCTTGGAACAATGATTTCTATTTACAATTAAACTCTTGAGGAATAACTGAAACAAGTCGAAAGAGAGAAGGGGGGAGGGGGTAAGGGATTTGTTAAATTTATTATCTGTTGAAACAGAAATGGGTGGTAAAACTACAACAGACGGAAGGGACTGGCAGTGTGCGCATGTGTGTGTGTGTTTATATCAGGAGAGTGGTGAGAAAGTCCACTTGACTGAGTTGATAGCAAGCACCTGTCAGGTAAATTTCCTCAAGTTCCTTTTAGCCCGAAATTGACTGAGTTTGTCTCTCCATTCAGCTGTCAACGAGCATTAGCATCACAAAATTATTATCGAGGAAGAAACAATCAAAAAGCATAAATACAAGGATGCCATACAATCGTAATTGACAACAGCCAACTTGGGAGTGGTTTGAAAGATCACTACCTAAGGGATTTGATGTCAGTAAACTCCATCATGTACCACCTAATGAAATTCATTTCTGATTACAATAGGGCTCTCTGTCTCACAATGCTATGATCTATAACTAGACTCTATCTCTAAGCAAATAACAAATGGGAACCAAACTACAGTAACGGGATTCCATCAAATAATTTAAAAGGTTATGGCTAATAAGAAACCTCAAAAATGAAATACTCAAAGCAAAACCAAATATGCATTACAGATTAGAAAAAATCTATACCTGCATCTCCATAGCGTTCCTGGTCAACAGCCTGCACCATGTTGATCACAAGATTGATCTCTTTTGTATCAAGACAAGGCTGACCACTGGGCCTGAAACAGTATTACTTTCAGTCAAACCTCTCCTTTGACAGAACAGAAACAGTAAGTGGTTGGTTAAATCTGCATGTTCCTCTTAAACAGACTATTACACTCGGTGGGGATGTTGACCATCAACCCAAATGTGAAATTTTATTATCATTGATCTGCTTATATATCTGAAAGCCTCAAGACTTGCAAACATTAAATTCTTCAATCACAAGGTTAACAGTAGAGTAAGAGTGACCTGTTCTCAAACGATAAACAGGCCATGATGACAGTCTAGATTCTGAGACTAAATTTCAGCCAGGACTTAATAACCAAAAGAATTTATCTAAATCATGTATCTCATACAAGTATTAAAAAAAAAGGGGAAAATAACAAGCATTTAAAACTAACCGGTCCAGTTCGGTGAAACATGGTCCATCAGAAGCCAAGGATTGGGTTGGCAGCTTGCCAGATTCAACCACTCGCATCCCATCACTATATGCAAGGTACTTGTTCACTTGTATAGGTACCTGCAGATAATAAGGAAAACAGATGAGGCAACAAGTAATTTGCATTGGCAACAATGAGCAAACTGAAAATAAAAGCATGAACAGAGTACCTTGCATCTCACAGCAATGTTGATGGCATCTGAGGGTCTAAGGTCAAAGATGACACTCTGTGTCTCATCACCTACCTGTGAGAACATCAAACAAGGTTTCAATGAAGACAACTCCTATGACTACACCTATGGTACTACAAGGTGATAAAGTGCACCCATAGTGAGAGAGTCAACTGAAGTAGAGAAGTTCAACAGAGAAGTCAATACATGCCTTTGTTAGGTATAACTGAGCAAAATATGCCTCATGCACTCTTTTAGTAACTCTAACAAGCCTCACCTGCAGAAGAGCAACACAAATATTACATTGCAGATCTTCAAAGAGAAAGGACATCCTCACAAAAGAATAGAATCCACCAACTACGGAAACATATTTAGAAAAGAAAATCTGAAGAAAGAACCTGCATACCGTATACCCCATTTTGTCTACCATCTCCTTAACCACTTGATACATTGTAGGTCTAGCCTGGAATCAATAGCCAAAGTTCATTTTTCATCATAGGGAAGTTTGATACAGAACCAAGTGTTCAAGAAGACCAAATTCAATATATCCATCTTCCAGGAAAATTAAAACCCTAACTTGAGGTAGGGAGCAAAAACATACAATTTGGACATTGTGCAATGCTGCCATGAGCAACACACTGGGCATCTCCACTGCAATTATAAGAGAACCACCGCATAAGTATGATTGGAGGAATAACAATAAGCACTGACTTAAATTCTATGGTGGAGATTTTGCAATTGACTAATACTATCAACCACAGAGGTCACATACAAACAATAATTGGAAGAAGAAGACCGGTCCCGTCTTCCATTTTCAGTACAATAGCTGGGTGAGGTGCATAATTGGGCAGATGTCCACCGTGAGGATTGTTATGGACACACCTTAAATGCCGACCATCCCTCATTTTGATCACAAAACCATCTGCTCCACTTTTCACCTCAACTACATAGCCACAGCATAAAGTATGTCAGCTAATCATAGGGATATAAACCACAAGCAGCTCATAAAACTACAATTAATTGGCTTACCAGCTTCAACTACACTAGAGTTGACATAATCCTCATCATTTTCGTTAAAATTCTCAGCCATGCTCCCATTACCATTTGAGGAGGAACTGAAAGTACACTGCACTGTCATACACTTCCGCATGTTTAGTCGATGAGTTATGGCAGATAACTTACTCTTGCCACCATTAATCCTTTTGAATCCCCATACATCACTCCTAGGCAATCCTGCCCTCATTAAAGGACCATTAACCGGCAGGGTATAAACCCCAACTTGTTTTGCACGGAAAGCAGGGCAAATCATTGTATCTTGAATACAAATCATCTTAGCTCTTTCAAGCCTACCGAAATTAATCAATTAATTAATGAATGATAAACAGTTGCAGCATAAAGGAAGTAATATAATTAAAAAGGTATAATACAAACAAAATTTCAGAGTTTGGGTTGTACCATCTATGATTCTGGAAAATTAAAGGCTCCAATGAAACAAACAGAGACTAAGATTCAATTTTTTTTTTTTTTTTTTACAGCTTATAGACAAAAGATTCAAAGTTATTTTTATACATAAAGATTGCCACTGTTCGGGAATTCAAACTTTACATCAGCTTTCGAGTGAGCTATTTCATCATTAAAGCATCAATCAAACTAAAATTAGAAATCTTTGAGAAATGAATCCAGAACCGAAATTCACACCTGAAAGTTCCGAGCTGCTGTTTGAGTAAGCAGATCAATGATGAAAAATCGCTTCTAATCAGCGATCGCAGCTAAAACCATGAATAGCTTCAGTTTCTGGAGCTTTATTCAACGGAGATTATACCAATTCCAGAATCCTAATCGATTAACGCAAAATTTAGGGAGTTCTTTTGGGATCGGAATCGGAGAAACAATCGAAATGAAGAGGTAAAGACTAAAGAGAGGATAAGAGAAAGCTTCAAGTGTAAGAACAAAACAAAAAAAGAAAAAAGAAAGAAAACACAGCAACAGAGATCAGAAGAAGAAAAGAAAGGAAAGGTGAGAATGAGAGTGAAGGATTAGAGATTCTTCTTGCCTTTGAAATTAGAAACTTAGCGACGATGAACCCACGCCATTTATCAATATCTGGGCTGGTTGAAGAGAGTGACGCTTATGCCCCTACTCGGGAATCTATTGGTCTCACCTCACCCCATCTCAATTACGTTTTTTTATTTTCCCTTGGTCAGGTCAATTCCGTTTAACTACCATATGTAAATTACGAATTCAGAAAATTTTTCCTTGCAACCCGAATCCAAAGCCTTGCCTATTTGATATATGAGGGTAATTTTATTGAAAAATTTTTTATTAAAAAAGGTATCGTGTAAAAAGTTAAGGAATTAGTATATTTATAAAAATTAATGGGCATTTATAATGAAATTTTTTTTAAAATTGTTGATTTAATTTTGTATTTATTGAGAAGTTAATAGTGCAAAACTTGAGAAAAAATTATCAAATTGTCCCATATTGAGAGAATTTGAGAAACTCTTTTCTTTCAAAAAAAAAATGAAGAAAATAAATTATTTATTTATAACCATGTTAGAAAAAAAAAGTAAAATAAGATAAAAATTTTATATATCAAAACAACTCTTAAAACTCAAAGTAAAGCATAGAGCTAGGAAGAAGTTCTCCTTCCAACCAACCAAACGTAGCCTCACTTTCTTGAAATGAAGATTACCATTTACTATCAAAATGAAAGTACCAAAAAAAAAGGGGGAATAATATTAACATAAACTAGAAAAGTATTGATAAATATTATAATAGTGTTTAATCATTT